GTGCTAAAAATCAACACTCGTTGTGCAACCGAACAAACATGGATTCACAAAAAAAATTAAATGGCCGATGTTGTTGCGCCTCCTGGAGTATGGAATGAATGTTTATGATTTGTTAATTGATTTGAAATGACTGATCGATTAATTTCAGCATTTGTTCAATTTTTATAAACATCTTTAAATTCAAAATTCAAAATTTATATATTACGAATGAATGTTTCTCTATGTTATGAAATTGTATATTGTTGTACCATGATTTATTATAATTTCCTGATCGGTAATAAAATTGATTTTATCAGCTGACTTGAAAAACAATTTTGCGCCTCAATCGATCAGATAACTTGAACTCATATTTATAACGATAATAATTCACGGAAAACTTATTACATATATTCTTATTATATATAAAAGTGCAGCATCGATCGAGTTTATTTATTATTTATCTAAGGAATAAATATTTAATCATGAAAACGCAAGAGATAAATAATGAGAATAAATATCATTAGAAAAAAATAAAAATATTTTTTTTGCAGCGTTGATATATATTTATTTAATTTCACAACCATCAATCATCTTTAACTGTTAATTATGACGAATTTCTTGACATGCTAAATTATACTGGAAAGAACATTTATATTCGTGTTATAATTTATATTTATAACAGTGTTGTGACTATGTAAACAAAAGATTCTATAATCCCAGATGTAAACGGAAATGTAAGACACATTTAAATTTCGAAATTTCTGTTTAATTTTCAATCTTATATTTGTCATCTTATATTTACAATTTATAATTTTGTTTCATATCATTTTATTCACATTTCTTTTGAAAATTTTAAATATTCTATTTTATATTTCAAATAATATTTATTATTACGAAAGAAATGAAAACAATTCGACTTCAGAAATTCATCAAAATCCAGAAGCAAAAGAGTAATTGTATCGGTCGTGCGCGTGTTAAAAGGTTAGGTGCGTCTCGGCAGCAACGCCGGTAGCAACATACCTGGTAGTACTCTTAAAGAAGTTGTTGCTTTCGCGATTCATCAATTCGCTTCTGAATCGTGACATCTCGTCCTCCATCTTTCTCATCTCGGCGTCGAAGCGTTCCCGTATGTTGGAAAATTCGGTGTCTATTACGCTGAAGTCACCCAGCTTGATAGGAATATTACGCTTGATACCACTGTCAGCCATGATTTTTGTATAGGTCACACTTGTGTTTCCTTACACCAAAAGCCACTGAAAGATGTACGAGCTTATATATCAATAAGAAGCACTGCTGTCGCGAACGATTTTGATTATTACAAATATCGTTTTCGATCACGTACAACCGTACTACACGATGTCTCGCCTAAGAATGAGCGCGGCTCACCGAATCCTCCTTAAATAGTCGCGATTGTCGCGACGCTGTCCCTCAACTGTTCGTAGGAGTTCGTTATTGCTCGGTATTTTCCGGAAACGCTCGGATTCGTGCACGCGGTCTAAACCGAGAACGAAATTTCACGAAGTTTAAATCATTCGAAAAAAATTTGTTTGATACAATATTTGCAAATAATACAAATATTATAAATTAGATTTATTATTATTTATTTATAAACTATATTATTTTCTATTTTTATCAAAATTATTGGTAGAAAAATAATAAAAGAAAAGATATAAATTTTATATTATCATCAATGTTCTATTTTATAAAATAATACAAAGTATTTTAGGTTTTATATTTTATTATACACATAGCACACATTGTTTCTTAATAAATATGATCTAACAATAAAAAGTATCAGTGGGCGATTAGATTATGATTCCGTACTCGAATTATCTGTTATATTGTGTTTTATATGAAAGATGATGACTAATACATGATCATATGATCATTTCCTTATTGATTGTCTTTAAGTCAAAGATGTGCATACATGTGTGGATAGAAGATTTGATTTCGGTATCAAATTTCGAAAAATTTCATTTCCTCATCATTACATAAAAATACTTGTACAAAAAAATTTATTATATATGCAATTTTTTCTAGAAAGATTAATTTTTTAATAAAAAAATTTTTAATAATAAAAAATTCGAATTTTTACATCATGATCATAAAATGTTATTAGCTATTAATGAAAAATATTCACGGATAATTAAACTTTTTGCACGATATTAATTGAATGATTAGATTACATGGTGAATCAAGGATATTTTTAAATCAACACTGCTCGTGAAAATATCAAGATGTCAATTATCATGTCGACCCGATTATGCAGATTTGTCTTCTGGTAAATTTACTTTAATCTTTAATAGTTGCTATATTTAACGACATTTTATCGATGAATATATTTTATTTCCCTCTCATTCAATAATATTTGTTAAATTAAATGTTAATTACATTAAATTAAAGTCGAGAAAAATATTTCTCAAACAAGAAGCTACACTACAATTTAAAAAAACTATTTTAAATTAAATTAAATACAAATTGAAGAAATATCGTTATGAATTAATTATCAATTATTATTCTTCGACACGAGTGAGTAGAAAATGAACAACATAAAATATTATTATGCCATTTTCTCGAGAACTATTAAAAAAAACAAAATGCGTTTCTTATATTTTACACATCATTTTTTTTTCTTCTTTTTTTTTTTTATAGAGGAAAAAACCATTTCAACATTATTTTTTATTATTTTTTATCTTCAACAAACTCGCTTGCGCATTTTGTGCGGTTCACTTCGCAGAACAATTCAAATTATCCAGTACAAATTCTCCTCGAATGATATTTCTTCCAACAACATTTTTTTTTTTTTTCCATACACCAATCCAACCCCTCATCGCAATCGTATCACGCGTGACGATCATTTACATTCCATTTTCTCCTCATACGCGTCGCTCTACATTCTTGTTAATCACGCGTGAACATTCAGGTGCTTTAATTTGGGCAACAGGAGAGATCCGAAGGCCGCGGTTACTACATGCATAACTTTCTGTTTACGTCTCGTGGAACTACGTGAGATTTTTTTCGTGGCATTAAATCACTGGTGCAAATGATGCCGACTGCTATTTTCGCACGTTGCACCGCGTCACACGCGCCGAACTGAATGGAGAGACGCATCACAACGCCTCCTTATTGTTCATAAATAGTTTTGCCGGTTTCGTACTCGTCGACGAGTTCCGATGAATCAAACAGTGTGGAATGTTTTCTCGCAATCCGTCAACGTGACGATGTAAGGATAACTACGATATAGTTAGACAGAAACCAATCGGGGGAAGATTGAATCACACCCTTTTCTCGACGAAGGTAATAATAATATTCGATGATATCGTATTGTATTGTATAAATCTATTTAGAAAATTCGCGGAAGATGATCAGATTCACAAATGTGGATCGACGAATAATATAATTTGAAAAAAAAAGAATGATGAGTTCATTCTCTTGATAAAAATTTCCTAATATGATAAAATCTAGTCAGTTTTATTGAGTCACGAAATCGTAGGCGTGATTACCAATAGGCAATGAAAATAAATAAGATGGGATTGCAGCCTTCGTTTCTATTCCCTTTTCAGTCTTCATTTACATATTAGAGGTATGTTCAAATGTTGAATAAAGTATAATAAATATAATATTCTTCGTTATTTAAAGAAATTTTTTAATAACAGGTGAATAAAATTTGACAAAATAATCTTTGTTTTCATAAAATCCAAAACAAAAATCCCCACGACTAGTGATATTAAAATTTATCGCGGTAAAAGTAAATATATTGTAGAAGAGAACGGAGAAGACTGGTGTTGATGACGAAGTGTGTCAATGTCAAACTATCCAAGCCTCCAGACGATGTCTCGAACTTCAAGAAAACGAAATTCGTTTCTTCCTTGTTCTTTCAAACGTCCACGAAATGCTTAAGTTTCTCTTTGCGTGGGAGAACGTGGTTAATATGACGTCACCTTTGTGGGTGTTTCACTGATCGATAAAACGCGTCACAATGGTCTCTAATATGGATTGATCTTACGTTCGTTCGCTATGTAACGTATACACGTGTTGCTCTATATTATTGAGAAAAATTTTTTCTGGAAAATGGCGATTTAAAAACACTTTCTCATTCATTGTAAAAATAAATTTATTTTTTATAATTTATTTATAAATGCATGAAAAATTGAGTATATAACGTAATATTTATCTAAGGGGAAATATATCAAAGAAGAAATAAATGTATCTCATAATTTCGCATCAAAAAATGATTTTACTTCCACGTGTCTAAGAAATCTAATTTATTAAAGTAATTTATTGAATAATTACATTGTTATGCCAGACAAGAGACAGAACCGAAACCGTTTGCCAGCCAATTATATGTATCTAGCGCGATATACAGAAGAAAACAACGGAGATTGTAGAAAAGATAGTACACTTCTCTTCACCACACGCCACTGACTATTAATAGTTGACGAAGTCCGAGAGAGAGCTATAGTATCCGAGGCCAAATTCGATCGTATCTGAATTCTTTACCCGTTCGACCCTTTCGACCGTCATTCTTTGTCGACAATTCAATGTCGAGGGTATCGTGCGAATTGATATTATTTCTCTTCCTTTATGTTAAATTTTTCCAATTACAAAAAAAAAAAAATGATAAATATTCAAATATTGAAAATTTAAAAAGAAAGAAGAAGGTATTAACTGATGATTTTTTTTTTAAATTGTAGTAATTTTAAATTATATAAAAAAATAATACAAACGTAGATTTATCGCAAACAATTTGTTGCCGAAGAAAGAATATTTAGATGTTAATGACACTGACGGAATTGTAAAAGTAATTTCATTCAATTTTTCAGTAGCGAGCAGACAATGCGCACTTAATAGTCATTTGTACTTGGCTTACTTATTGTTAGATTGAATGAGGAGGTTGATGTGGTCGTACGACGATTTCGCATCACTACTAAGTAAGTACTGACATGTGGACAAATGGGGCTTAAGGTTAACGCGCCATGATGTCACTGTCTGATATCATAGTATCCATCTTTTACTTTAACAGTCGGACAAAAATAATTCAACAAAACTGTTAAGCTTTCATTCAGATTATTTTAACTTCAATCTTCATATTCACAATCTTCTAATTCAGTGAATGAAATCTCGCAATAATTTACACGTATAATAAAATCTAATTTCAATATTTAGGATCTTAAAGCTTACATTTTTTTCCCGATTATATTCTTTCTCTAACCATTTCTAGAAGTATTGTAACATCAGTTTTCAACAATTTCTTTGCAAATTCATGAAATATGATCTCAATCGGTTTGTTGTAACATTCGCGCTATGTGAGTCTGCAATACGATCTGACTGCAATTACTTATAACATTTGTATACGTTTATATTTGCTATATAAACGAAACATCCCGAATAAATTTTCAATACAAATTATTTTTGTTTATTAAATCATGTTTTATGTTTTGTATATGATTTAAAAATATAATGATTTCAATAGATATTTAAATATTAATAAAATATATTATAAAGATAATTTATTTTTTAAAAAAATTCTAATTACAAGAATTTTTTTATTTATAATCATTGAAATATAAATTTTTTATAAATGTTTATAATTTTTGAAGATAAATTTTTATATTTTAGAGAAAAACATAATGAAAAAGAACTTTTGCGAATATCAAATATATATTTTTTTAATTATCAAAATTAGAAAACATGAATCATTCTTCGTTATGATACACGTGCTTAAAAAAAAAGTCAGTACCTAAATGCAGTGATGGCCAATGTCACTGCCACGAATAAACTAATAATACGTAATATGATGACAAACATCTGTAGTGCATATATAATCATGATTGTGCAAGTATAATTCTTTTATAATTTATTTTTCCTTATACATTTATACATGTGATATGACATCTGTGATTATTCGCTTTATTAAAGTTTTCAATATTGATACAAAAATAAATTATATATATTGATTATATTTCATTGATTAAATAACGATAACAATAAATAAAATTATGAAGAATAATATTAAAAAAATATATATTACCATTGTTTAATTATGTTTTCACTTTAACTATCAATGAAAAATTATTTCAATTCTAATTTATTTTTTATTTCTAAATTTATTTTTAATTTTTGATATAAATATATAATAAATAGAACAATAATAATCAATATAATAATATGAAAAAATGAATTTCATTTTAAATATCTTCAATTAATGTTCTATACATATTGATTTTAAGTCCCTCTTACGTTCAATATCGGTACTAAGATATTTTAGAAAGTTTGTCATCATGAAAAAGTATATAAAAGATATTTCTGATAGAAAACAGTCAGATACTATAGACAATGAAAAAAAACCATTTAACAAAAAACAATATAGATTGAAAAAATATAGTAACAAATATAAAAGTATGTTTCAAACTGTGCGAATAACATAGTAATATATGTATAGGTTAGGTTCAATATATTTGTGAATATTATTTAATTTTTTTAATTGTATTACTTACAGTTAATCAATGGGAGGAACGCAGGAAGAAAGCTGTTTTACGAGGTTTTTACAAACAGATTGATAAAGACCAACAACAAAATGTAAAAAAGTCATTTGCTTCCAAAGTCGATGATCAAAATGAACATGAGTATGTATTTATTAAATTTTATATGAAAAATAAATTAAAAAATTCATATTAATCATTAAAAAGAACTTTATCTTTTAAAAGGACACAACCAAAAAATTTAAGTGCTTTTCACAAGGCTAAACAGGAATTTCTACGTAAACAAGATGAAAAAAAGAAACAAAAAGAAGAAGCTTTACGAATAAAAACAGAAAGAGAAGAAGCGCTTAAAAATTATAAAGAAAGAAGGATGCAAACATATAAAAAACTTTCAAAGAAAACAAAAAAAGGACAACCTGTAATGAAAGATAGATTAGAAATGTTATTGGAAAAAATACAGCAGCAAGTATCAAAATAATATTCTAAAAAGATATAACGTTGTTTTTAAAAATATTTTAAAATTATTGTCAATAAATTTGATTATTTAATAAACATGTATATATAATGACAAATAAATTTTATTGAAATCTTTTTATAAATAATATGTTGTAAACAATTTATATATAATAGTATTAATATTTATGCAAGTTAATTTATTATTTTCATTGAATTAAAAATGAAATGTTAGGATATTAGTTTTTTAAAAATTCCTAAAAACATTTTTTTATCGTCATGTTTAATGATTTATATATAAATTATAAAATATTTTTTTAATTTTGCAATATTCTTTATATTTTAAGTAACCTTATTACTTAGAATATCAATGCAAAAATTTTATAATCCTATATATAAAATTCTATAATTTTTTTTTTATTAAAAAATGATTTATTAAAAAATATTAAATTATCACTATAAAAAGATTAAAATGTTATATTCTATTATTAAAAAATAATATAAAATATTATAATAATAAAATATTCATGTGATACATTACATTAGAATCAATAACAATAATAATAATTACAATTTTTTTTAAACATAGATTGAAAATGTAAGTATAATCATAAAAATAAACGATCGATGAAGTTGTATGGAATTTAAAATACAAATTTGCCCGCGCAACACTTATCGCGCAAGCGTAGTGGCATTTGACGGGCAGCCGTCAGCTAGTCAACGGTTGCAAATGGCGACAGCCACGAAATCTCTGGCACCGACTCGCGAATAGTTTCACGCATACGGAGTACTACGTGACCGAGCAGTGCGTGAACGTTATCTTAACCCAGATCGGTATGTACTTAAAACTGACCCGATAATCAAGATGTGTAGCAGATAACATTTTTCCTCAAAAAACATAGTTACAGTGATTGTACTCGCCACCCGTACGACAGGTCATGAAAGACAAAAAGCCATTATTCGACTTATCTATTCTTTCGAAATTTTCTGTTTATTTGCTCGATCGATATGTGATAATTTTCGCATGATTTCTTAATGAAAAGTGCTATTATTTTTGGGCATATTCTCAAAAATAATTCCGCGTAATGAGAATCACTATCAGCATTTGCACCCCACTGCTGTCAAAAACTGTTTGTCGTCGTAATCTAGGACGCGGTACCGGCTTAATCACTCGATTTTTCTTTCGAACATCAAAATAGACCTTTACTTTATACGATTTATTCTTCTCGTTTCTAATATTCATATAATATATTAGTTTCATTGACTAATATTGAACACAAGTATAATATAGAGGATATTCTTTTAAATTTGCTTATGGGACCAAAGAGCTTATTGGAATATTCTTAATCAACGAATATCATTTAGATTATTTTCTTGAATCTTTCTCTATGTATCTATTTTATGTTATTAAATAATATCATATATTTATAATTTTATATAAATTTTCATAAATTATAATATTATAATGCTTGATATTAACCCAGTGATATAAAATCTTATTGACTTTTATATATATATATATATATATATTTTAATATTATTATACATCTAAATTCAATTTTATTAAATATTGTTTCAAAATTGTGAATATTTATTTACAAAAACAATATTGTATATTTTATTTTTTTATAAACATTTATATAAGTTAAAATTTATAATTATGATAAAAATTATAATTCTTATAGATAGAAATTAATATTATACTTCAATGAAAATTTTATTTAATTTATTAAAATATCTCATATATGAAAGCAAATTTTTTTAAATTGATTTTATTTCACAGGTGGTTTGAAATAGACCAAAACAAGATGCCGGCTGTGAGAGGAGATGGCATGCGTGGTCTGGCTGTATTTATTTCTGATATTAGAAATTGTGAGCTAAAAGATATACTTTTTTTAAAAATATATTTTTAAAAATTAATTGCATTTTATATATAATAATATTATATATATGCGTTATATTATTTGATAAAAAATACAAATTGATTTTTGAATCATTAAAATTTTAATCTATGTTTCATTAAGAGATATGATGCCATTGAAATTAATATGACACATACATATATTTAAAGTATTGAAGAGTAGGAGACAGGGGGCGGAATACTGATACAAGCCTATCTTTCTGATATAGCTTGTATTTCAAACACTAATATGTAATACTTGGCATAATATAATGAATGAATGTCAAAACCAGTTATTTTAAGAAATAGTTATATATGAATATATAAATAAATAAAATAATATATAAAAAAAGGATCTTAAATATATAATATTTTTATTATTTAATGTAATAAATAATTATATAACAACTAGAATAAGAAATTGACTTTTATAAAGCAAATCAATACATCTATACTTTGATGCCAATCCAAATGGCATGCAGCCATTATAATTTTTTATAAAAATTACACAATATTTATTATAATATATAATATTTATTTATATTCAATATATATATATATATTACCAATATTAAAATGATATATTATAAAGTTATAAATTTTATCTATTAATTTCTTATTTTTTTAGGTAAAAGCAAAGAAGCAGAAATTAAGAGAATAAACAAAGAGTTGGCAAATATTCGTAGTAAATTTAAAGGAGACAAGACACTTGATGGTTATCAAAAAAAGAAATATGTTTGTAAGCTTCTTTTTATTTTTTTACTTGGTCATGATATTGATTTTGGACACATGGAGGCTGTTAATCTACTTTCATCCAATAAATATTCAGAAAAACAAATTGTGAGTGTTACAATTTTTTAAAAAATTAATAAATATATAAATATGATTTTATATATATGATATAATAAATATGATACATTATACATATACATTATTATTAAAATATTTTGAATTTTATAAATATAATATATAATGAATATATAAATATAAATATATATGCATTATATATTTTAGGGCTATCTTTTCATATCAGTTTTAGTAAATACAAACAGTGATCTTATTAAATTAATTATTCAAAGTATAAAAAATGATCTTGCATCAAGAAATCCAATTCATGTAAATCTTGCATTACAATGTATTGCAAATATTGGCAGTAAAGAAATGGCAGAAGCTTTTGGCAATGAAATACCAAAATTACTTGTTTCTGGGTATGTATAAATGTCTTTTGTTTTTTTACTATTTATTTATAAATTTTAAAATAATTATAAATTATTTTTCAATTCCCTAGAGATACTATGGATGTTGTAAAACAAAGTGCAGCATTGTGTTTATTACGATTATTACGTACTGCACCAGATGTTGTTCCTGGTGGAGAATGGACATCACGCATAGTTCATCTTTTAAATGATCAGCATCTTGGTGTTGTTACAGCAGCTGCATCTTTAATAGATGCTTTAGTAAAAAGAAATCCAGACGAATACAAAGGATGTGTTAGTTTAGCAGTTTCAAGATTGAGCAGGGTATGACATAATTTGTTAGTTTGATTCATAATCAAAAAATAATTTTTTAATCTTTATTCTATCTCAATAGATTGTGACATCAAGTTATACAGATCTACAGGATTATACATATTATTTTGTGCCAGCACCATGGTTATCTGTTAAACTTTTACGATTATTACAGAATTATACACCACCTGGTAAATTAAATAATTTTTAAATTTCATAATATAAAGAAAAAATATTAAGATAATAATATTTTATTTTTATACTTTTAAATGTTCTAATAGCTGAAGACCCAGGAGTAAGAGGTAGATTAAATGAATGTCTAGAAACTATATTAAATAAAGCTCAAGAACCACCAAAATCAAAAAAGGTGCAACATTCAAATGCAAAAAATGCTGTGTTATTTGAAGCCATTAGTTTAATTATTCATAATGACAGTGAACTGCCTTTATCAGTCAGAGCATGTAATCAACTTGGTCAGTTTCTATCTAATCGTGAAACTAATCTTCGCTATTTAGCACTTGAATCCATGTGCCATTTAGCTACATCAGAATTGTCACATGAAGCTGTAAAGAAACATCAAGAAGTTGTTATTCTTTCTATGAAAATGGAAAAAGATGTATCTGTTAGACAACAGGCTGTCGATCTTTTATATGCTATGTGTGATAAAAGCAATGCTGAAGAAATAGTTCAAGAAATGTTGAATTATCTTGAAACTGCTGATTATTCCATTAGAGAAGAAATGGTTCTTAAAGTAGCGATTTTAGCCGAAAAGTATGCTACTGATTATACTTGGTACGTTGATGTCATTTTAAATCTCATTAGGATAGCTGGTGACTATGTTTCGGAAGAAGTATGGTACAGAGTTATTCAAATCGTTATTAATAGAGAAGATGTACAAGGATATGCAGCAAAGACTGTTTTCGAGGTAAATAATATAAATTTATAATTATATTAGTATATATATTATTATCATAATATTTTTAATATAAATTAAAAAAAAAGTATATTTTTTTTATTATATAAAATTTATTGTATAATCAAGTTTTTATATTAAATATTAATATTTATTAGGCTTTACAAGCACCAGCTTGCCATGAAAATATGGTTAAAGTTGGTGGTTATATACTTGGAGAATTTGGAAATCTTATTGCTGGTGATCAACGATCTTCTCCAGCTGTTCAGTTTCAATTGTTACATTCCAAAGTAAGTAGTAAGTTTTGTATATCTTTATGTAATTAAAAATTTGTACATTAAATATTTATATGATTTTTTTTTTATTTTTCAGTATCATTTATGTTCTCCAATGACTCGTGCATTGTTACTTTCGACATATATTAAATTTGTTAATCTGTTTCCTGAAATGAGAAGTCAAATTCAAGATGTCTTTAGACAACATAGTAATTTACGCAGTGCAGATGCAGAGTTACAACAAAGAGCTTCGGAATATCTTCAATTGAGCATTATCGCTTCTAGTGATGTTTTGGTAAATAAATTAATTTTAATTAGTTTTTTAAAAAATATATTATAATTCTTAAAAGAAAAAAGAAACAAAGTTTATATAATTCTATACATATCTATAACTATTTATTATTCTTTTTATAGGCTACAGTTTTAGAGGAAATGCCAGCATTTCCAGAAAGAGAATCTTCTATTCTTGCGGTTTTGAAAAGGAAGAAACCAGGTCGAGTACCAGAGAATGAAATTAGAGAAAGTAAAAGTCCAGCTCCAAATACTAATCATCATGCAGAAGCTCCTAGTAGTGTAACAGGAGCTGTTAATAATACATCAGCAGATTTATTAAGTCTTTCTACACCACCATCTTCTCAACCAAGTAGCAATACTGGAGTTTTACTTGACGTACTAGGAGATATTTATAATATGCCAAATAAAGTCGCAACTAATGGTGCCCAAAATACATATAATCCTAAGAAGTATGTTGGTATAAAAGATATTTATGGAAAAAAATTTAAACAGAAAATTATTTTAATTTTTATATTCTGTGTTTTGTAGATTTGTGTGTAAAAATAATGGTGTATTGTTTGAAAGTGAATTAATTCAAATTGGAGTAAAATCGGAATTCAGACAAAATTTAGGACGAGTCGGTCTTTTTTATGGAAACAAAACTCAATATGCTCTTCATAGTTTTCAACCTCAATTATCTTGGTCTGAAGAAAATCAACAAAAATTAGCAGTACAAGTAAAGCCAGTCGATCCAGTGTTAGAAGCTGGAGCTCAAATACAACAAATGATTAACGCAGAATGTATTGATGATTATAGCGGTACGATAAATTATATAATAATATAAAAAAGATCAAACAATATTAATATATATAGTAATATATATATATATTGATGTATTATTAATTTTGTATTATAAATATAAGAAGAACTAGATATTTATATAAATTTTTTTTTTATGTAGATGCACCGAGCATGATTATCTCTTTTATTTATAACAATGTGCCACAAAAGATAACAATGAAATTACCATTAACTATCAACAAATTCTTCGAACCCACAGAAATGAATGGAGAATCATTCTTTGCAAGATGGAAAAATCTTGGAGGGTATGTAAAATATTTCCTATTTTTATTTTTTTTTTTCATTTATTAAAATTTCTAATTTATTAACTAAAATATCTGCATTATATATCGATGCAGTATAATTAATTTTATAATATATATTTATTTTATAATATATATTTTGTAATGTATAATTTTGTAATATATATTTATTTCTATTTTTATAAAATTTAATCTAATAGTTGATTAATAATAATATATAATATGTTGATTAATAATAATTAAATATATATATATATGTATACTCATTATACTTATTATATATTTTTAGAGCAAATCAACAACGTTCTCAGAAGATTTTCAAAGCACAACAACCAATGGATCTTACACAAGTTCGCACGAAATTGCAAGGATTTGGAATGCAATTACTTGATGGTATTGATCCAAATCCCGATAATTTCGTTTGTGCAGGAATAGTACATATGAGAGCACAACAAGTTGGATGTTTGTTACGTTTAGAACCTAATAAACAAGCGCAGGTAATTTTTCAATACTTTATATAGCTTCTTAAATATTTTTTAAATTATTAATATTATTAATTTCTTAAATTACGAATTTAGTAAACTGTTTGCTAAATTATATCTTGTAGATGTTTCGTTTAACGGTACGTTCGAGTAAGGAATCGATGTCAGTAGAGATCTGTGACCTGCTGGTGGATCAATTTTAAATGATCTAGCAGGCATAAACTAATTTAAGATATACTAAAACGCCGTGGGAAGACATATCGTGATCAATAAAGAATGTCGTCTCTCGACGTTCAAAAAATACTGATGATTATTTGTTAAGAAATATTTGTTGTACCCAAGCTTACACTCATAACATGGTCATGAGAATTGAACCCTTGTGTAGGCAAAACATTGTTACCACATATAATCCTACGAACAAAGCATAGGATTGCTATAAATATGATAAAGGTGAATTGTGTAGATGAGAAAAAAAGAAAAAAAGAAGAAAAAAAAGAAAGGAAAAGAAAGCTAAATGACATATATAATGGCTATGGTGGACTTTATTGGTCCATGAATAAAGGTAACAAATATAGATATCACAATTTTTTTCTTTCTTTTTTTTTCCTTTTTTTTTTTAATATGTATTTTTAGTAAAAAAAAAAAAAAAAAAAT